TTATTATTCTCAAATACATACTTGCAGTCATTGGGATATTCAATTTTAGTAGGATTATTCTCAAATACATACTTGCAGTCATCGGAATATTCTATTTTAGTATCATTATTGTCAGCTACATATTTGCATGCGTTTTTGTGAAATTCTATTTTAGCCTGACTATTAATTATTAGATACATATTTGCAAGGAATATTATATTTTAGTAGATGATTATTCTCAGTTGCATATTTGCATTCGCCATTGGTTCCATTTTGGTATGAATATTCTCCGTTGACATATTTGCATACGTCATCGGAATATTTTAGTTTAATATGAAATATTCTCAATTACATATTCGTACGTTGTGATATTCTATTTGGGTATGAATATGCTCATTCACATAATTGCTACGTCATTTGGAACTTCTGTTTTGGTATGATTATTTTCAGTTACATATTTGCATACGTCATTAAAATATTCGATTGCAGTGTGATAATTCTCAGATACATATTTGCATACGTCATTGGGATATTCTATTTTTATATCCTCAATTAATCTCAGTTACCTATTTGCATGACATTTGGTTATTCTCAATTGCATATCTTCATTTATCACTGAGACACTATTTTGGTAAAATTGTTCTCAGCTACAACGATGTTTTGCTTTTGTTCTTCAGTATAATTTTTCACGGTTATATACCATTATCCATTCATCATTGAGTCATTTTGGGTTCAAAATAAATTAATTACTTGACCCTTCCTACTATATATCATTGGGTAATTCTATTTCATTGGCTTCCAATCTACATTAATTCCTTGGCGCTTCCTACTATAAATCATTGGGTCATTCTCCTATATCGGGTTCTAATCTACATTAATTCCTTGGCGCTTCCTACTATAAATCATTGGGTTATTCTACAATATCGGGTTCTAATCTACTTCAATTCCTTGGCGCTTCTTACTATATATCATTGGGTCGATCTATTTCACTGGCTTCTAATCTACATTAATTACTTGACGTTCCCTGGTATATGTCATTGGATTATCCAGTTATTCTACTTTATCGGGTTGTAATCTACATTAATTCCTTTGTGCTTCCCACTATATATCATTGGGTCATTTTATTTCACTGGCTTCCAATATACATTATTCCTTGGCTCTTCCTACCATATATCATTGGGACAATATATTTTATTTGGTTCTATTCTACATTGAATACTTGACGCTTCCTACTGTATATCATTGGGACATTATATTTTATTTGGTTCTATTCTACATCAATTACTTGACGCTTCGCACTTCCCTACCCTATCGTTGTCTACTTCTACCGGCATGTCGTCATAGCTCTCGACCCCCCCATCGCTCCTGCTGACGGTCCCAGTCCTATTCGACTCAGGTCTTGGTGCGGCTACTACTCTCGCCATACTAGATGTATTGCTTCCACTCGACTCGTCATCCTGGAACCGTTTGCCCTTGACCCCCACTTTGTCCTGCGGCTGTTGTTCCTCTACAATTTGCATACCATCGCTGCAAAATTAAAGTAAGCATACATGAGCAATATACGTATGCATGTCAGTGCACTCATACCTGTAGTATTATATCCTCACCTCTGTAAGTATGTACGGTAGGTACAATTTCCACTACGATTGATTATATACGCGGCAGCACGCACCAAATCTCACACACCACACACTAATACCCACCTGCCATGCAGCGACCGTGTCGGAGTGTCTGTGCCTTGATTCGAACTGAGAGAGGATCGCCTATCTCGTTGGACTTCCTGCAGAATTGAAACAAACAAACCAAGTTTAGAAGCGTCATTATACCTAGTTGTATTTAATCGGAAAACGTGCCGTCATCTGTGAATGATATATAGACTGAGAAACGAGACCTAAACCGACACATTCCGATATCGATATAAAGTGGATATGAAGCATACACTCACAAGCTAGACAAATAAGCGCAAGTGAAATAGACAACACCATGTAAAGTTCAGCGACAGTCGGATAGTCACATACGTAGGCAAACAGACACCTACATGATATTAACCGGACCTATCCCTATCCCTATCTATTAAAATTTATATATATATATATATATATGAATTATGTATGTATACATATATAGATAGATATGAATGGATAGAAAGATAGACAGAGAGAAAGACAGACAGATAGATAGATGGATTATATATATA